TGTGCATAAAACGGAACTAGAATTCACAATCTCTCAGTTTCTAGGCAGATGCCTTAATCCAGACATGTCAAACCCGTGATGCCACGTGATGTCACGCAACGTATCGAGATGGTTTTGCCATTGCCGGCAATGGGGTGGGCCCGGCTTCTGGATGATACATCTAGCCCGTGGGTCAGCAGTTTGATACCCCTGCCTTAATCACTGCATCAAACCACTGTATGAACTTACAGGAACATATTGCCTTGATGATTCATCTATTGCAGAGGTCTCCAACCTTTTGGGCACCAAGGACCGGTTCCGTGGAGACAGGTTTTTCTGTGGACCGGAGAGTAGGTGGTTTTGTGTGCTGCCTGCATCCCATGGATGGGGCTTTGCTTGTTTGTACCAACCAGTTGCTGGCATGCTGCGGGCTGGTACTGGTCCACGGACGAGAGTTTGGGGGTCCCCTGATCTATTATCTTGGTATTTGGGGGCAAAATAGTTGCTTAGGACACACCTAACACCATTTGGACCAAATCGGTAAGACAGGGCTTAAAAGAACAAGGACAAGGCGAGCTACAGATTTTCTGATGATAATTTGAAGAATCACAAGGCACACTGTGCACACAAATAGATTGCAGATTTTCATCTGCAGACCATCCATTGTTGTGATGATCCTTCTCCCTCTTTCCCTCCCTCTCTCCTTCCCTCTCTCTCTCTCTCTGCACCAAAGTATGATAAAGCTCCTAGAGAAATTAATGAGACTTAATGGTTTCATCCACTTTCATCATTGCTAGGATAGAGAATATCAGAAAATGTGATACAATACAAAAGTTTGATGCAGGTGAAATTCCGAAGCTGTACTCCCAACAATTTTAGTGTTAATACCACTCTTCAATGCCTTGGTAATGCCACACTTGGAATACGGCATCCAGTTTTGGTCACCATGATGTAAAAAAGATGCTGAGACTCTAGAAAGAGTGCAGAGAAGAGCAACAAAGATGATTAGGGGACTAGAGGCTAAAACATATAAGGAACGGTTGCTGGAATTGGGTATGTCTAGTTTAATGAAGAGAAGAACGAGGGGGGACATGATAGCAGCGTTCCAGTATCTCAGGGGCTGCCCCAAAGAAGAGGGAGTCAAGCTATTCTCCAAAGCACCTGAAGGCAGGACAAGAAGCAACGGATGGAAACTCATCAAGGAGAGAAGCAACCTAGAACTAAGGAGAAACTTCCTGACAGTGAGAACAATTAACCAGTGGAACAACCTGCCTCCAGAAGTGGTGAATGCTTCAACACTGGAAGTTTTTGAGAAGAGACTGGGCAACATTTGTCAGAAATGGTATAGGGTTTCCTGCCTGAGCAGGGGGCTGGACTCGATGACCTCCAAGTTCCCTTCCATCATCATCATCATCATCATCATCATCATCATCATTATTATTAATTTTCCCCCAATGGATTCAGTATGAAATCCATGGAAGGAACAGTGGCGGATGGGAAGGAAAGTTCATTGTCACTTTTTCTATCTGGATTTGATCAGCCGGATTTTCCCAGTTTAATATCAACTTCAGTTTTCACCCACCTGCAAGTTGAAGGGCTCTTAAGACTTAACTCAAGAGGGATAATTTTTTTTCTTCTTCTTAAAGAATCTTTGGTCTATTTCCAAAATATATATGATGTAGATATGGGAAATTCTAAATGCTTAGCTCAGGAGTAGGCCACCTTGGCTCTTTTATGACTCGTGGACTTCAACTCCCAGAATTCCTGAGCCAGCCTGGCTCAGCATGGAAACCTCTCCCTTTTCCCTCAGCATGGCTGGCTCAGGAATTCTGGGAGTTGAAGTCCACGAGTCATAAAAGAGCCAATGTTGCCTATCTCTGGCCTAAGTCCTGTTCTAAGCGGTGAGCCTCCTAGACCAGGGGTAGGCCACCTTGGCTCTTTTATGACTTGTGGACTTCAACTCCCAGAATTCCTGTGCCAGCCTGGCTCAGCATGGAAACCTCTCCCTTTCCCCTCAGCATGGCTGGCTCAGGAATTCTAAGAGTTGAAGTCCACGAGTCATAAAAGAGCCAAGGTTGCCTACCCCTGGCTTAGCTGCTCTCAGTGGGACACCATTATACCCTTTTTCCACAGTGTTGTTTATACCATCTCCATCAAGTCTGCCAATACTATTATGTTTAGATCAGCCCATTTCACAAAGTGTAACCCAGAGAGTCATGTCACAACTTTTGGACCAGGAACCAAAAATCAAGGATGCGTTGATGTAAAATAGCAAAATAAATTCTTGTCTTTTTCTTTTCTTTCTTTTTTTTTAAGTTAGTATTTTAGTCGTGGCAAAAACTAAAAAAAAAAAAAAGACAATCAATGGCTTGATATAGTTTGAAATCTGCCAGCCATAGGAGATGACCAGCTGAAACTGAGGGAGGGGTCAAGCTCGTCATCAGTCATTTTTTGCACCCGCAAGAGATATAAGTCCAGACCTCCTTGAAGTTTGTTGACTCTTATTTATCCACCAATTTGCTTTAATAGTTAGTAGCTCAGATTTATGTTTAGAGAATAGTACTCATTTGAACAACCCTGGTGTCCAATTTCTTGCACCTGACACCAGCCAGCAATAAAATTCTCATTCCATTTAAGGAAATGGAAGAAATTATACCATGTATTTAATAATGAATATTTTTTTTCTTTTTTTCTATGTATTGTACAATTTGATTACAACATAAAAATAAGAACATTATCTTTCTGCCTGCCTCACACCCATCTGTCCGTCCATCCATCCATCCATCCATCCATCCATCCATCCATCCATCTACAGCCTAAGCATTCTATGATTGTGCTTATACAAATGTCATTCAAAGAAAATGTTACTTATATGCTTTTATAAGAATCCAATGAAGAACAACATATAGGAAAGTGTGTGCAAGAGAAAGTGAGCAAAAGTACAACGACTAAAAACTGTAATAATGGAGGGTGACGGGAGGAACACCACTGTGTTGTCCATGAAACCAGATCAAAGCTTGTACTATGAGACACCAACACATTTTGTAGCCCACAATGCTAAAAGAACCACGAATGCATTAAGACCATTGTGGGCCCTAAGCACATTTATTTTTGGACTAATATCTCCTTAGGGATATAAAAATATTCCCTAGATCTATAGGCCTCAAGAAGTCACAGAGAATAGCATAATAAAGTAGTAATGGTAACTTAAATATATTTAATTTCAGGATATAGGAGTTTGGTTTTTCTGCTACTTTTCAGATTTTTTGATTGAGCCTAATATATTTTCACTGGCCCTAGACATTTTGCCTATTATGCCTAAGTGAAAATATGATCATTCAGCGAAGCGTGTCAAAATATTAGGGTAATCTGAGAGTTCATACATGAGGGTGTGATCCAAGTAGGCTGATGGGCGCCGATGTGAACGAATGAATACGCCTGATAAAAGAACAAGGACTTTCCAGGTGTCAGTTCAAGTGTAATTTTTTTTTTTGTTGTTGTTGTTATTAAATATGGGTTGCGACAGAAGCTTCTACAAGGACTTGCACACAACCATGATGGATGGATGGATTTTGTCTGCCGTTCAGTTAGCTCCATCAACTCACTCAAGACACATTTTGAACAGATGATGTACTGTAAAATTTGGGAGACCATACATTTAACAGGAGATTTTGCTCTGGAGGCTCTGCTTCCCACACTCTGTATGGAAAAGGGGCGGGAAAAAAAAAAGAGGAGAGAACAAAACTCATAGAGTTTGACAGCTACGGAGGCAACACTTGCCATTTACATTATAAGCCCAAATATTATTATTATTATTTTTTTTGCAACACAACTATATATTAATTTAATAAAATACACAATATAGCTCTTATACACTCAACAATTTGGCTCAAATGCACTGAATCTGCAATAAATCAAGAAAAAAATATGTCATTTGATGTAAACACATTGAATCTTCTTACATTTGCACATTTAAATGATTTGGGTGAAGGTCTGGAATCTCGGCACTCGAGCTAGTTGCTGTCCATAAATGAATTACAACAGGTGTTAATCACATTAATTTGTCTCCGCTCTTATTGCCCGTGTAACGGCATTTAAAGCGGCCTTCTCATATTGTGCCTCAGGTATAAAGCATAGTTACCTCAATTCTTGCTAGACACTCCTTCCATTTCTTTCCTTATCACATTAATTCATTTATGCATGTGCAGGACAAACATTGACTCGATCATTTTACATTTAACTTTAATATGATATGAGCCGTGTTACTACTGATCAGGATAATTTCGCTGAATGAAGTTATGGAATGCATTTGGAGGGGTTTCCATATATATTTTTTTATCCTTTTCATTTCTTTCTTTCTCTTTTAAGGATGTGGCAGATGCCTTTATACAGAAATGCTTATCAGAAATGAATGTTAATGCTTTGTGTACTTGGCTGTCTGACTACAAGAACATTTGTTTGTATGTTTATCGGATTTCTGATGTGGGATTTCCCCTAGAAATCTTGAATGACTGTTGTAAACTTATCACACAACTATCCCACCCTGATTTTTATGGGGTCTACAGGTAAACAGTGAAGTCAACATTAACTATCGGTCCTAAAAAATCTGATTCCATTTATCTTACTCCTTTCTCTTCGATTGTCAAAGTGGTCCCAATCTTTCTTTCTTTCTTTCTTTCTTTCTTTCTTTCTTTCTTTCTTTCTTTCTTTCTTTCTTTCTTTCTTTCTTCCTTCCTTCCTTCCTTCCTTCCTTCCTTCCTTCCTTCCTTCCTTCCTTCCTCCCTTTTTCTTTTTTTTTCTTTTTTTCTTTTTAAAAAAAACATACACCATATTGTTCTAATGGAAGTTTGGTAAAAAAAAATGAAACCAGTGTTATCTGAAAAAAAAGAAAAGAAAAGAAAGAGCAGTGAAACAAACAAACTGGAGGGCACTTCAGATGTTCACTAAAAGCCTTAAAGCAGCATTGGTCTTTTGTTCATCCCTGTATAAATTTTTAGAACCAGGGGAGATTTATTTTTTTCTTTTTTTTTTTCTTTTTTTAAATATATAATTCAGCAGAAGAAGCAAATCAATGCCAGACTGTCTTTTTTGTTTTTTGTTTCTGTTTTGCTTCATTTTCTCACAGCCATGGGGTCGTTTGCCCGACAGTCCTGCAAAAGCTTGTCGATCTCCCGCACCACTTCCTCCGCGTCTACGGACTCTCTCCCTAGTTCCCTGTTCGAACGGTCTATCTGTTCCAAGACAGAGTCCATATCAGCGGAGTCTCGGCTGACCCGGGAATGCACCTCGGCAAAGACCCTGGCCATCTGATCAGACGCCATGTAGGCAGCGTCTCTGGACTGTTTGCTAGGTGACAGGTACTGACTGTTGGGTTCAGCCAAGGCCCCCGTTTTGACTTCACAACCATCCAGGGGTCCTTTCGTCGAAGGCTCGATGCAGGTCTTGGTTGGGCTGCTTGATGCTGAGGGGACCTCCTGGAGGAGAGGGCTCAGGGCACGTTTGGCTTTGAGATAAGGTTTCACATTGGCAATGAGAATGGTGTGCTCTCGCTTGTCCTTCCCAAATGTACAAAAGGTCTTTTTCCCCGTAGGGTTCACAGTTTCGTAAGTCTCAGTCTCGACATTAGCTTCCACCGTGGGCACAAAGAGATTTGTTCGGTAGTCGGCGTTGTCCGCTTGGTTAGAGGCAGGGAACTGGGGCATCCAACATCTGTCAGAATGGCCAAGCACTCGGCATTCATCGGTGCAGTTAATGCATTCCTCTTGTTCTGCAAAACAAAGGAGAAACAACAAGGCTTTTAAAGTCATTTAGTCAGCCGCCTTGATCTGGTCCTAGTCTGTTCATTCAATTTACAGGGTTTCCTGGGTGCGAACAGAAATTATAATCAAAACTTTTCAAGAAGGTGTCAGAAACCAATAGGTTGAGGGGCTTGGTTTATTGGAGCTACTATCAAAGCACAACAGCGGCTGTATCACTCAGTGGTTGTATCGCTTCAATAAACACTTGGTTTATTGGAACTACCATCAAAGCACAACAGTGGTTGTTTCACTCAGTGGTTGTATGACTTCAATAAATGCTTAGTTTATTGAAACTACCATCAAGGCACAATGGTGGTTGTATCACTCCATTAAATGCTTGGTTTATTGGAGCTAATATCAAAGCACAACAGTGGTTGTGTCACTCAGTTGTGGTGTCATGTCAATCTATGCTTGGTAGTACTTCCGGTTAGGCATCGTGGTGTGATGGACGCAGGAAGATGGGGGGGTCTGTCTTCCACATTCGATTTCACCCCGCTGAGGGTCCTAAAACGGGTCAAAAGTTGCCCCGGAGAGGTGACGAAGAAGGAAGGGACCCCCGTTGATTGCAGAATGGTAGCAGCCCTTCTGCTGGATCTGCAGAAGCCCTCCAAACCGGCCGGGGTAAAATTGGCTACATTCGTGTAGTCAGTTAGAAGCTGCTGACAACCGAATATAAACACTAACAAGCAATTTTTGAGCAATGTGGATGGAACTGGGTGACACTTTATCCTCTCTTTATGACCTTAATACTACTCTCCTGGAAAAAAGAATGCCCAAAGCAAAGAATCTTCCCAATGAGAGAGGGAGGAGAAGTTTTTGTCCCACTTCCTCAGGAAAAGAAAAGTGGCAAATTAATTGTTTTGGGGGAAAATAGAGAAAACTAAAAGATCAATTTGGAATTAATACAGACATATAGCTTTGAAATTTGGGGGCTAAAAGTACTGTTGAGACTTTTTTTAGAAAAGATATTTGAAAGTCTGTAAAATAGGCTTGGATTTGGAAAGCTGGAAGATGGTGTCAACAACATCTAGTGGCAAATCACACTTAAAGGAAACTTGGCTTGAAGCCTGGACTTAGATAAGATTCTTTATTGATCCTGGAAATGTTCACTTTTGCAGACTGCAGCTGGGAAAAGGGAAAAAAAACCCTTCTTGGCTGCTTATCTGCAGTGAAGACCCTATTGGATTATAAAGATTACATACAAAAACAAAATGGGTGTTCCATACTTAGCCACAAATGGTAAAAAAAAAAACATCTTTAACACTTGTCTCTGAAGCCTCCAGCTTGACATTCCAACAAGAAAATGTTAATGAATCTCAGAAAGAAATTATTTTTATGTTGAAATCAATCCAAGAGACAATTGTTTTATTTCATGATGAGACTAAAAATAGCGCAAATGAGATAAAAGAACAATTTTCTAACCTAAATGTACAAATCCAGACAATGACTACAAAGAAGGAACTAGTAAACCAGAAAACAGAAGAAAAATGAGAAGAAACGGATCCAAATATGGAGGACCTAAAGGAAGGAATTAACAGACAGATACAGACAAAGGGAAAATTAGAAGATGCAGTGATAACACTGGAAATGGAAAAGAGATCTTACTTGTCAAGATCTCAGAACATATTTGAGGATAAGGAAGAAGAGCTGATTGAACAGATGATAAAGTTGTTAGGAGAAATGTTGAATATTAACAAATAAGAAATGAAAAGAAAAACTGAAGAAGAAAGATGGAGGCTGTTTAATGAACATAAATGGGTTGAGCGTTCTTCCAAAAATCAAATTCTCTTCCTCATTCCAAATACTATATACAAAAACAGAGGAAGAACTACTTGATGATTTAAATGTACTGACTTGGAAAGTTATTTCGCAAAGGAAGAAAGCTAGAGTAAGACTGAAGAAAATAGAGGTTCTGACCTATTAGATGGGATATTATACCATTAGATGTTTGAATGTGGTTCAGAAAATAGATAACTGTTAGAAATAAAAGTATTATTATAATTAGAAGGATAGGATTTGTAACTAGAATATTATACTTTGTTATGAGATGGGAAATATGAACATTCTAAAAGGGTTTGAATAAAGGAAGCTTTTGGTTACCCAAATATAATTCAGTATGAGAAAAATATAAGCGATAGAGATATTTTGAACATTGATGGGAAATCAAAATTTTTTAAAAAAGCAGGAAAAAGAGGATATTGATTGAGCAAATGGATTTTAAGTGCAAATGCAATTGAGATGTGTTCTGGCTAGAAAAGATATTATAAACTGACGCTATTGATATTATGTATACCAGAAAAATGTGATGAAGATTTCTATATTTAATTGTATATGTATTAACAGTAACAAGAATTGTATTTGCCCAGTGTGGAAAAATGCATACCACAGGAAAAAGAGAGGACCAAGGAAGCACTGGATGGTGTAGTATTGGAACTAGATTGAGAAAATTAATAAGTACCACTGAATTACCAATGGACCCAGACAACATGTTGTTTATTAAGTGCTCGTGATTGTAAAATTAGAAAATTAATAAAATATTTATATAAAAACTAAATGCTTGGTTTATTGGAGCTACTATCAAAGCACACAGTGTAGTATCATTGTATCACTGAGTATAGTAGAGTCTTCTGTTTGAGGAGGGTTGGACTAGAAGACCTCCAAGGTCTGTTCCATCTCTATTCTTCCACATTAATAGAAGAGGGGTATTAGAGAACTAGAGTCAGAAAGAAAAAAAAATCCCTGAGTATAGTACAAGTGGTACCTCGCTCAATAGTAGCAACTGTGAGAGGGATCTCGGAGTCCTAGTGGACAACCATCTAAATAGGAGCCAGCCTTGTGCTGCAGCTGCCAAAAAAGCCAACACAGTCCTGGGCTGCATTAACAGAGGGACAGAATCAAGATAACGTGAAGTGTTAATACCACTTTACAATGCCTTGGTAAGGCCACACTTGGAATACTGCATCCAGTTTTGGTCACCACGATGTAAAAAAGATGCTGAGAATCTAGAAAGAGTGCAGAGAAGAGCAACAAAGATGATTAGGGGACTGGAAGCTAAAACATATAAGGAACGGTTGCTGGAATTGGTTATGTCTAGTTTAATGAAGAGAAGAACTTCGGGTTAGCAGTGTTCCAATATCTCAGGGGCTGCCACAAAGAAGAGGGAATCAAGCTATTCTGCAAGGCGCTTGAAGGCAGGACAAGAAGCAACAGATGGGAACTGACCAAGGAGAGAAGCAACCTAGAACTAAGGAAAAACTTCCTGACAGTTGGAACAATTAATCAGTGGAACAACCTGCCTCCAGAAGCGGTGAATGCGCCAACACTGGAAGTTTTTAGGAAGAGACTGGATAGCCATTTGTCTGAAATGGTGTAGGGTTTCCTGCCTGAGCAGGACGTTGGACTAGTTGACTTCCAAGGTCCCTTCCAACATTATTATTATTATTATTATTATTATTATTATTATTATTATTATTATTATTATTATTATTATTATTATTATTACGGATCATCGCACAGTCAGCGAGATGTTCAGACTGGATTTGGCATTTTGTCTACCTAGCGAGTCATTATTATTATTATTATTATTATTATTATTTACTTACATACTAATCTTATAGGCTGTTCTACTCATAGTAGATTCTGGATGGCATACAGCTTATATTTAATACAGCTGTTGAATTAAAATCATATCTAAAATGTCCCAGGCAGTACTGGCAATCAACTGACATATACAGTAGATTTTATCTTACAGGGACAAACAAGAGAATGTATCAAGTCCTGAAGGCACACTGAACGATGATAGATTGTTGGAAACTCAAGAAGATGTTCTTCTAGATTGAGAAGGCCCTATTCTGTGGATTCTGTAAATGATAGTCTCTAAGAAGCAAGGCCTAGAAAGACATCTTTCTTAAATTGCAGGCAGAAAGCCATGGGATCATACATTCCTTGGATCAAACTCAAGAGTGTAGTAACTTGAGCATATGTCAATGTAGTTTCCAAAGAACAGTATAGATCAGGAGTCTCCAACCTTGCTAGCTTTACAGTTTGTAGACTTGTAGACTTCAGCTCTCAGAGGAATTGAAGTCTATAAATTGGCTGAGGAATTCTGGGAGTTGAAGCCCATAAAGGTCGGAGATCCCTAGTGTGGATCATTGTTCTCTGGGATAATGATGATTATTATAATGAGGATTAATTTTCCTAACCTACATCTCCTGGATTTTCTGGTGGTCTGCTAAGCATGATACAGCTTTTCGGGAGATCATCTTGGTGTAGCCACCTGCTGTGACTTAGTTCCATCAGGTTTTAATTCATTCTTATGATGTAATCTAAAGTCTTGCCTTTGAAGTCAAAACCTGCCCACAGTTCCTGGAATGGGCTGGCCCAGTTTCTAAAATGAGATTGTTATAATGATCATTTAGAGCAGGGGTTCTCAACCTTGGCAACTTTAAGACTTGTGGACTTCAACTCCCAGAATTCCTCAGCCAGCTAAGCTTTGCTGGCTGAGGAATTCTGGGAGTTGAAGTCCACAAGTCTTAAAGTTGCCAAGGTTGAGAACCCCTGATTTAGAGAATATTGTTCATGACTTCTCTAAAGAGGCTACTACTTACAATGATATGTATTCCATTCATTGTGTGAATATGATAACCTTTGAAGAGAAGTACTTCATTAATTGTTCTTGCCATTATTTTGAGAAGAAATAAGCAGAGTGCCTGGAAATAGGATAGGTTCGGAGCGAACACATAGGACATTCTTCCTAATGGTGTGTTGTGCAAATCAATCTTCACATTTTTTTTTTTTTGCACCAACCCTCCTGTTTCCAAAGAGTAGAAAATCTAGTTACACAATCTATATTTTTGTTGAAAACAGCAATAAATGCCTCTTTTGACAAGCTCACATTTAATGCACAGTGGCAGAAAAATCCTTTCCTGTGTTATTATCGGCACAAAGTAAACTCTTATTATTACATGAC